TAGAATTTCACAATCAACAGTTTGAAAGAATTTTTTTTTTTTTTTTGGTTTTTTTTTTGGCTTTTGCAGGATTTTCAACAAAGTTTGTTGTCTTGACAATAGTGTTTGCCGGTTTAATAGCGCTCCTAGCTGCTGTGTATTTCTGTAAGTGAAAATAAATTTCAACAGTTTGAAAGAATTTTTTTTTTTTTTTGGTTTTTTTTTTGGCTTTTGCAGGATCTTCAACAAAGTTTGTTGTCATGACAATAGTGTTTGCCGGTTTAATAGCGCTCCTAGCTGCTGTGTATTTCTGTAAGTGAAAATAAATGCCTTGTTCATTAATCAATAGCGTTATTGTTGTCATAAGGCAAATTTTTGCGCTTATTCTGATTGGCTATGGAAATTATTTAAATGAGTTTAATTATTATTATTATTATTATTATTTTCAAATTCTTCCTTTCAGTTATGAAGAAGAAAATTTTCTTGAAGAACGGGTATTCAATGACAGCTGAGTTTATTTTATCATTAAAAATTGTATATCTCTGCTCGTATTCCCGTATTGTGTCTGGAGTGCAATTTGTTACACACTTGAAATTTTAAGATTAAATCTTTCTCATGAAGTGTTTATTTGGTGAACGTCTGGATAAAGAATACTTGGTCAACGTATGCGGGTTGATACTGTCACTCTAATCACCCTGGTTGACCGCTTCTGCTTCGTCATTCTTTTTAAAGCATTTTAAGAAAATTTTAAATTGTGTAGACATATTTTGTTTAATTTAACTCGTATTAAGAGAATTTAATTTTTTTTTTAAATACATAACTTTCTCAACTGAGCCAAAAAGGGCTGCTTCAATGCGCCAAATTCCAATATACTAAGGATACTTGACCAAACACTCAAGTAACGCCCCTTTAAGAAGCCCATTTAGGGCTACACATTGCAGTATAAAAAACCGCACACTATTTTTCAAGCCCCTAAAATATATTAATAATATGATATCTCGCCGCCTATTTCGCTTAAATTTATCACTCTTTTATTAAACTGAGACTATTTTAATCTCCGTATACCAAAAATAAAAAAATATAATATAACCCACCAAACTTAAGAATTTTTTAAGAATTTATTGTAGAGCAGTTATCGAAAAAAAAAAAAAATATTTTTTTTAACGCGAAATGGAACTCACTATTACACCATACTTTCTGCCATAAGAAACATGATTCTCTTTTTTATAATATCATTAAATATCCATCAATTCAAAAATTCAAAAATTAAGTTAAACCCCATAAGCCTTTCATGGCTCCTCTGGTATTTCAAAAATAAAAACAAAATCTGTGAAACCAGTTATCGCTTCATCCTCTATTACCAAAGTTGACCAGCAATGTGAATATCTTGCCTTTATTATAAGAATGACTGTAAAATGTGATTTATTGATTACTTTGTTTCATCCGACAGGCAGGGCTGAAAGATGCGAGATCAGCGTAGTTTTTTAATGCAGGTAAGTTTCCCGTCCAAAAAACAAACAAAAAAAACAACAAAAAAAACCCCAAAAAAAGTTTAACTATGCAATTTAAACTTTATTGGTGACGAATAAACCTCGAAGCCAGGCACCTGACCAACAATCTGCTGAAGTGGTACTCAGCACGAAACTCTGACCGGCCGCTCACAAGGAACATGCACCAGACCTTTACACGAACCTGGAATGAAAGGGGAGGGGGAGCCTTCATGATTACAATGTATTTTTTAGAAATTGGTCCGAAAAATGTCCAGTTCTTCTGACATCAAAAAAACATGTAGCCGTCCGATGCCACCTATAATGACTACATCGTCAGATTGTGTCATCTTGTTGTGTTAAGCTGAGCCACTTTAATTGAAATAAGATTCTTTCTTCTGAATTGCGTTTGACTCAGCAGATGTTTTAGAGAACTTAGCCAAGTGGTCGAAACACACCGTTTCTGGTGTTTCGGTTTTACCAAAACCATAAAACTTTCTAAGGCCGGCATGGATCCAGCTACCACGGGGTGATGGAATAATTGTAGAAGCGTGTGCATATTATTATGGATGTAAAAAAAAAAATAAACCAAAAAAAATGTATAGATAGGTAGGTGAATCTCCTCTGACAGTGTTAATCCATTGATAGTAAGTATACTTTTGTAACATTATTATGTGTTTATATAAAAATTGTTGTTTTCAAAATGCTCCTCATAAATGCATTTAAACATTACCCATTTTACATTTGAAGAGGGTTAAACAACAGGTAAATTGTATTTTTACACCATTTTGCTTCTACATTTTAATCAATAACATTAATTTTTTTTTTTTTAACGGTGGTTTTATGGTGTTCCCATAAAGAAATTGTTTCTTTTTATTACGTCACTTCATAATACTTTTGTATGCATTAAAATGCGTTTCAAAATTCAATTATTAATTTGTAACATAAATGTATGTTTTTACCAAACTTGCCATGTATATATGTCAAATGAAGTATTGATTTTTTTTTTTTACAAAATGCGATGAAATATGAATAGATTATTTAAAAAAATATTTACATCTCTTTCTTTAGCATTAGCTTTTGATGTAACATATTTGTTATAAGAAATGTAGTATAGGACAGGGATTGGATTGGACAGCAGTAACACAGCTTGACAATATTACCGATAAATTAATGTTATTTTTGTCTCTGGTGTATGTATTTTTTTTAAAGACAACCTTAACACACACAAAAAAAAACAGCCAAATCTGTTTACTATTAAGTTTAAAACAACAGCCATAATTGTTTACAATTAAGTTAAAATTAAACAATTCTTTAAAAGATAGATTTGAGGAGATGAAATAATGCTTTAAAATTGAATTACATTTAATTTTTTTATAGTTTTTAAAAAAAAATCTTCTCTCAATGAGATCATCATTCGACAACAAGAAACAAATGTCAACATTGCAACATCCAGACATTTTCTTTTTTTTCTTTTTTTTTTGGGGGGGGGGGGGGGTTTTAATAAAAAAAAAAAACGCATCTTTTATAAAATTATTTTTTTCAGAGTCTCACGCCATTTCATCAAGGAGGGATACGGTAGAGGAATCTTCCCCAGCCTTGAAACATCTCAACATGCCAACATTGTGCTGAGCATATTGCGATGAAGAAATAATATAATGTTTAGAGATTTTTTTTTTTAAATTGGGAATACATTTCAATTCTTTTTTTTACTACAAACCGATTGCTTGCCATTAAATCTCCAAGTTCTCTCTCATCTACTCAAATTCGTTTTGCGTCAAATTAACATTCAGCAAGATGATTTTTACGGATCTTTATTTAAAAATTCTAATTGGCGTAATTGTATTAAGTCTGTATAGAGTTTAACTCAATTGTATTAAGTATTTATAGAGTTTAACTCTATTCTAGTGTTCTTAAAGCTCAGCGTTTTATTTATTTCACCCTGACTTGCTGACTTAATGTGTCGTTGTTTTGTGTACAACTCTTAAGTCCCGTTGAGTTTTGCCTGATATCTACTTCATAAAGCTCAGTGTGATTACTACATTTGTTTGTTTGTCAATGGGTCGCGTGGTCACACGAAAACACACCCCCCTCCCCCCCAAAAAAAAAAACAACAACAAAAAATATTATGCATCAGACGCGCTTGTGATATTTTTGAAAAGAATCATATTTAGCGTAGTTATCGGGAATTCTATTTCATGAAATTTTGTGTCATCGATATCTTGCTTTGGGAAACAGGAACAAAATTATTTTTTTGGGCTTGAGGTTGGGGGGAGTGGGGGGTGGGGCTGATGTGCCAAGTTTCAGCTCGATGGAATTTATGAATGCTTTCAAGCCCTGCTGCCCCAATGTCTCAAATGCATAGAGATGTTCAAGCTCTGCTGCCCCAATGTCTCAAATGCATAGAGGTGTACAAGCCCTGCTGCCCAAATGTCTCAAAAGCATAGAGGTGTACAAGCCCTACTGCCCCAATGTCTCAAATGCAGAGAGGTGTACAAGCCCTACTGCTAGACTATCTCGAATTCATAGAGATGTACAAACCCTACAGCAAAGAAAGAACGAGAAGTCCGATTTTATCGATGTGTGTTAGTTAGTTACTTAACATGTGTTGTCACCACTCTTGTGTAAAAATGTGTCGTGTGGGCCATTGTTATTTGTCTACCTACTAAGAGAATGTTGTCCACTTCTTGTTCTGCTTCTTCTCACAGGCGTGATGTTTACATTTGAACACACTGAAATGCCTGTCAACAAGTTTGAACAAAACGTTGAAAAGGTAATTAAGGCTGAGTAAAAATCAATTACGACCAAGACGAGTTTGATCAATGTGTTTTGGTGATCGAAGCTCTATTGGGACACCCGGGATGCAGCAGAAAAGATGTGTCCCTACTGTCAGTGCATTTCTCTGACTAATTTACTTTTGAGCCTGTTTACTTGATATACTGAAAAAGGGAAGATGATCTGAGACAGTATAATGTGTGGAGATGAAAGTATTACCTCTTGAAAAATTATAGAAAAAGTTACAAACTTAAAAATTAAAGTCCAAGTATCTAGCATACAAATGGACAAAAAAAAAACACTATCAAAATCAGAGCTATTATGGAAATTAAGTTGAGAAAAAAATAAGTATTAAGAAGGAAATGGCTGGGGAACTGGCAAGTGAAGCCGAAGGTACTCCACTAAGAGCTGAACAAGAGGACGATGTATGAAAGTATTGATCGTTTTTATTATGATCTCTTAGATATTCGCATGGACCATGTCGAAGTTGGTTAATGCTTCAAGTTATTCATAGAGTCTCTCTCAATACTCTCATTGAGTCTCAACCATTTCCCGAAAAATCTGATCGTCTTTGGTTTCATGTGAGAGGAGCTTTAGCAAATACGTTTTTTTTAAAATGTTGGACTCAACAGCACACAGAGTTACAAGTTAATTTCGATTAATCAGATGAATAACACGAAACATGACAAGCGCGTATTTCATCTGATATGGATTTATTCGACATTAGATTTCATTTTGATGTACACATGTATGTTTCAAGAGCCGACCTAGATGTTTGTGATGTAAATCAAACACTCGTACAATGCAAATGTGTGCCTAGTTTTACACGGGTGTGTCTAAAAATGTGATTAAATCTGAAATGTTCACTTTATTATCACATCATTTTTTTTAAAAATGTCTTGACTTAAGGCACATTTATTATACGAGCCGCTCATTGTATATCAAGTCAGATATATATTACAATTTACACACACCGTAGTTTTTGCATATATTTATAGATTGGATGTTGATGTTTGTGGTTTGCATTAAAAAGCTAGTTTGATGAATGTGGCAGTTATACGAGAGCTGAAAACACTCTAATGGCCTGGGAGATGGGTGATGTTCAGATGATGTCTTGTGTGAGCCTCCGGGGATCTTGTGAGAGCATCCAAACTCTTGAATTAGGGATCCGATTCTCAAATTTGTAGGGCAGTCTGAAAGATGAAAACGAATCAAGTTATAAAAAGAGAATTTTTTTTTTTTTTTTTTTTTTTTTTTTGAAGAGATTTTAACATTTTTAAGAAAACTTTTCTTTTTTTTTTTTTTTTTTTTTTTTTATCGAAGAGATTGTACACATTGTCAGAACATTAGTCTATATTTTATGTTTTTATTTTTTTTTTTTAAATATATATAAATTAAATATATTGGTGAAGGTAAAACTAAAATAAAAAGTATACACGAAACAATATTTTAAATAATAATAAGATAAAAAACTGTATTTTTTTAACAACACCTTATGAGAAGAGTTTGATACAGAATGCGGAATAGGTTTGTTCAACGTAAAAAGAGAAACCCTCACAGTGGCTTACTGTGTGTTATAAGAGTAAAACGACCCCGACACCCCTCCACGGAATATATCAAATTTCGGTGTTTATTGTATTATTCATGAACTTTTCCGACCCAACCAAGTCTCTTCCACCAAATCAATATCACCCCCAACCACCAACGAAGCATGTTATTGTGTTTTAAGGTAACGACATATCTAAATGTATGTTAAACAAAGATACTAAACTGTTTTATATGTTTTACTTCTAATTTGATGTGGCGGGCGACCCCCCACCGCCCGCACCCCCCTGGCGGGCGTGGGGGTGGGGGTGGGGGGCGTGGGGGTGGGGGCGTGGTGGGCGTGGGGGTGGGGGGTGGGGATTCTTGTTGTTTTTTTTTCCTGGTAACACTTTCAGTAACGACGCTTTGGACTCCTCCACTTCTAAGAATTTTTACTGAGTCTCACCTCTCATCATCTGTGATGACCTCTCACCTTCTGTGATGACCTCTCACCTTCTGTGATGACCTCTCATCCTCTGTGATGACCTCTTACCGTCTGTGATGACCTCTCACCTTCTGTGATGACCTCTTACCTTCTGTGATGACCTCTCACCTTCTGTGATGACCTCTCATCCTCTGTGATGACCTCTCACCTTCTGTGGTGACCTCTCAACCTCCTATCCCTCTCTGGGATGAGCTCTCAACCTCCTAGCATTCTCTGGGATGAGTTCTCAACCTCCTATCATCCTCTGGGATGAGCTCTCAACCTCATATCACCCTCTTTGATGAGCTCTCAATCTACTATCATCCTCTGGGATGAGCTCTCAACCTCATATCACCCTCTTTGATGAGCTCTCAATCTACTATCATCCTCTGGGATGAGCTCTCAACCTCATATCACCCTCTGTGATGAGCTCTCAATCTCCTATCCCCCCTGGAATGAGCTCTCAACCTCCTATCACCCTCTGCTGTTAGCTCTCAATCCCTCCCCTTCCAAGTCCATTGGCTGAGTTTGTCTGTCCTATACTATCATCCTCTGTGATGACCTCTCACCCTCTGTGATGACCTCTCACCCTCTGTGATGACCTCTCACCCTCTGTGATGACCTCTCACCCTCTGTGATGACCTCTCACCCTCTGTGATGACCTCTCACCCTCTGTGATGATCTCTAGCGCGGACTTAAAATCTACTTAACACTTTTTAATAACGTCCTAGCATTTCACAGAAATTCTATCCTCATATGCGGAATGATTTTGGGATTCGGGGTGGTGCAGCCGTGGATAAGGTGTTTGGATGTGATAAGCGATGATAAGCCGTGATAAGCGGTGACAAGCATTAATTGTGAATGTCATGCTAACAATCAAATTGACTTACAGGTTGCTGCAGTTGGACAGAATGTTGTGCACTGAAAAGGTTTCAGGAATTTCAAATTCCACACCAAACATCAAGAAAATGCGCTCTATTGTCTTGTGGTAACTTGCCACACGACGAAAAAAATTGGTCAGCTAAAAAACAAGACATATATTTACATGTTTTACAGTAATTTTTGTAATCATGTATAGCATATATACATATATACATTACTTTAAGTATAAGATTACTTCAGGGTCTATCGCCTTCCTTGTGTTTTGTGACGTCACCAACTAAATGTGGCGAATCACTAAATTTTCCCCCTACCAACAAGTTACCTCGCTACAATTCCATTCACCAAAACGTTTCCCCACTACACTTTCCCCCACACCAATATGTGCCACGTGTTGGTTATGAAAATTGTTACAAAGACGGAGCCGTGACTAAGAAAGTTCTGAAGGAGATGCTGGGTTCTTGCATTCAATTTGTCTTCTTAGATAAGGTTTGATCTCTAGAAGTTCTGTCCCCATTCCCCCACACCCACCCCCGCACATACACACTAAAAGTTAGATGGTTAATTGCGATTAAGTCAGACTTGAGTGAGACGTGGCGAGTGCTTTTCACTACAGTGCTTATATGTGGACAACTATTGTCACATTTTCATTACTTGTGTGGATAAACATGTTTAGTTTGTGTGTGTAACAGTATTGGTATTTCCACCTTTTATTACAAGACATTATCAAGTGTTGCAAGTTGATTTTTTTTTCCTTTTCTAATTTCTATATATTTTGTTTTGTACATATATTGGAATTGTTAGCGTTAAAAAAATAATTGATGGTCGTCAACATCCCGCCCCCCGTACTTTGGAAGCGTTTTCTCAGTACACTTGTTTCAGTGCTATGTTACGCATTGCTCTTCCCACGAGCAAATGTAAAACGTCTTATTTAAAAACATCTTTGGTAGAAGCTATTGAGGTTCCGCTTATAGCTGGAACATGGGGTCCACACTTCATGGCCACATAGGACTGAGCACACTTGCTTGATAGACGCTTAGTTGTTTTTTTTCTACTTTCAGTTCCATTAAGATTATTCCAAAGGCGGCCCTTCATTTCAGCCTTTGTTGCTGCAGTTTTCGCGATTCCCACTGTCACCTGGCCCTCAATAAATATCTTTTGAGGGGACTGTGCTTCTTGCATCTTGACATTTGTTTTATGTAGGCCATTGGTCAGTCAAAGCTCTTTGCATTCTTGAGAGTGGCGATTAATTAACACCGCTGAAAACTTTCTTCCGTCATCCGTGAGTGTTATAATAAATAAATAAATAAATATATATATATGCGTGCGTACGTGCGCGTGTGTGTGTGTATGTATGCGTGTGTGATATTAGCATTATATTATCTCAATCATTAAAAAAATCATTGCTCATTCTTGATGCTACCATTTAAAGAGATTTAACTTTTTTTTTCTTTTTTTTTAAAGTGGGTTAATATCCAGAACGCAACCGAACTAAATCAATTAATTCAAATTTAAATTATTAGCTGGTTGTGTTTTTAACTTTCTAACAGCTTGCTTTGAATGTGTTCATATTGCATCAGTTTGGATTTTAAAATTGAATCACTTTGTCATCTGATTGTATAATTCGATTGCCGATAAACTGTGTTGACAATGACCGTGTTGTCCCTAGTTGGGGTTTTCATTTCAATCACTGAATTAATCTGCGATTTAGTATTGTAATTCCATGTAAATCAATCAGTTCCCTTCGGGGAGAAAACATCATCTATATTTCTTTTTGACGGTATGAGTAGAAAGAAGAAGAAAAACGTCGTCTCGTTTGAAAGAACAGAGAAAGCCACCACTGCTTCTTAAAATGTTCACTAGTAGAAGGCGGCCGTCAAAAACTGTTTACCATTAGGCTTCTGTTGGCGACTGTGGCGTGCCGTAAGGTTTTTTTTAAAGATTTAACCTGATTTAAGATTTGGCTGGTAAAATAAATACAAAAATACGCAACAAAGTAACAAAAAATAATGCGCCAAGAAAAACGCTGCCAAAGCTAGTGACAATCAGACCATTGTATTTAGTGATACAGATACATGTCCACAAAAATGCTAAGTTGAATACAGAAACAAGCCAAACCCAACAACTTACGGCACAGGAAGGGAACAGCAAGACCCGTCAAAATAAAAATCTCACTTTACACACAGACAGTTATTAAATGTTTCGTACATGTTAGGAGAAAAATAAAATTCTTTCTCGCACTCCCTTGCCTGGTCTCTCTATATACCTCTATTATAGTCTAAAGAAACCTGTCGCGTATATATTGATTTAATTAGAACGGGCTAGTGAAGAAATTACAGGAGGTTAAGTGAACTAGAACAGAGCTTTAAAATGCAAAATAACTGCAGAGCGGGAGGGGGGAGGCGAATAAAACCGTTTGAACATACCCCAGACATTTCGCCATATGCGAAACCTTAAGTCCCGACTCTTGGCTCTGAACGACAGAAGATTGACGAGACGCTCAAGTCGTAACAAGAATATGTATATTAGTTAGTACAGAAATTCTAGAAATTGCGCCAACTGATGACATTCTTTAGAACAAATGGGGCGTATTTGAACGTAAAGAGCCTTTTTCTAATCAAGGGAAGGTTGGGTACGATATTACACTACACATTAACATGGTGACGTTATTATCAAGGCCATGCTAATGGAGACAAGTGACGAACTTTTTTTTTTAAAAAGCTATGTGTTGAAGTTAAAAAATGTAGGTCTAAGACATACGCTACGCTAGGCTATAACATAATAGTGTCTCTTTCTCTTTTTTTTTTAACAGAAACTTGTCTGTCACCCTCAACTGTTTTTCAAATATCCCTTTGCGTCGCGTTCTCAGTTTGTTTTTTTTTAAACGTTCATAACTCACACCAGTTGACGATGTCTTCGATTTTCCCCATTGCTTTTCTCGGCACAATCGTTGGATCACTACTTGAACTTGACATGTGCAGCATTCTTTAAATTTTTCCCCATTGCAGCCGTTCGCCTTTAGTACAACAAATGTTCAAATGGTTAGATGCCCCCTCCCCAAAAAAAACCATTCAAGGACTTGTTCTTACCTCAACCTCCGATGTGAATCCAAAAAGTGTGTCCCATGTTAAATCGTAGACGGGCATGGCGGATGTTAAGATAGCAGGCGTAATCTCTGTATCAAGATGATCGTAGGCGTGTAGCTCCACCAACAACTCTGGGTGTGTCTTGACCAAAGTCTTCCACGAATCATTTCTAATAATATTATCTGATAGAGTGTTGGTTATAATAATACCGTGTTAGTTGTGTCTACATTTACTAAAAGTAGACCTCGATTGTTTCGTAAACATGAGCAATGTGGAAAAAGTCGTTTATATAGTTAATTTACAACCAAAAAAAAGTCACTTATTAAAAAACAACAGGTTGTTGCTGTAGCAACGTGCCAAAAAAACTGATATTAGGAGAAGGGCTTCTGTCCTGACTTGTCACAGACTATTTTGTAAAGGTTAGTGCTGCGAAATTCGTTTCTGTGATGTAAATTTTGAGTATTCAGAGGTTGATTTAAAAAAAACAGTATACAACAACCCATCTACGTGCTGTATATTGTGTATAATATGCCTTGAGACGGACAGTGCAGCACAGCTAGTGTCTGCTATTTAAATAATCGTTATCAAGGCGCTGGGACAGACAAAAATCATAACTTAGAAGTAATAAATGCACACAGCACCACGTGTCGCAGATAACATTTTTAAAATAAATATATTACTTCACAAAACTCAGTTTTCTGTCACTCTATTTAACTCCATCTCTTGTCCAAGGCTAGCTGCACATGATCTCCGTGTCTCTCTACAGCATACAGTCAATACATCCTACTACAATTCTCCACAACTATACTGTCACCATATCCCACTAAAATTCTGTAACACCTTAAATATCAATATATCCTACTTCAACTCTCTACAACTATGATGTTAATAGATCCTACTTCAACTCTCTACAACTATACTGTAAATATATCCTACTTCAACTCTCTACAACTATACTGTAAATATATCCTACTTCAACTCTCTACAACTATACTGTAAATATATCCTACTTCAACTCTCTACAACTACGATGTTTAATATATCCTACTTCAACTCTCTACAACTATCATGTTAATATAATCTACTTCAACTCTCTACAACTATACTGTTAATATATCCTACTTCAAATCTCTACAACTATCATGTTAATATAATCTACTTCAACTCTCTACAACTATGCTTTCAATATATCCAACTTCCACCCAACTGTCTCATCTTTCTCAATCGACTCAGACTACTTCGACTTGTCCCCAAAACATCGTCCCCATTAACGTTTGAATGGCTACAGCTCTATCGACACCGTTCGCTCATATTTTCCTCCCTGGTCATTTGTGACACAATCATTGCAACTAAAGAAGAAAAAAATCATTTGTGTCCGTGAAAGCACAAGACTGTTAAAATATACCGCTAATTTTTAAACGAAAGGTTTTCAATTATGCAAGATTACAATATTAAGAAAGAAAAAAAAAACACACACACACAAAGAAAAAAAAGTTCCTACTTTGAGGTATAGCCCAAAGCTTAATGTACTCAAGTGTTGGACATTCCCTGGACCACAGTTGTATCAGTTCGTCTGCAACCAGCGCGTAGTCGATGTGAATCTCATGCAGATTAGTAAATTTCTGAAATTGTTTTAATCAAAGTAGAATTGTTTCCGAGTAAGAAGAAATGTGAGATAATTTAAAAAAAAAAATTTTGAAACCAATATCAATATATTAGCCAAGAGGGAAAAGCTTTGCAGGGCATCACGCTTAAACTATTTGAGAATCAAAGCGCCTTATAATTTGTTATCTGCAAATGATATATACAAACATTAATATGACATGTGAATATTAGTATTAAATTGTCGTGAAAATCACCTTCAGTTCCGTGACGATTCGATATTCCCGGTAAATGTCAACAGTATCCACGAATACATTGTTTAAAAACAATGTTTCTAGCGTCCTTCCAGAGGCTTCAGCTAAACATTTTAGAAGTTTTATTCCATGTTCCGGTTCAAAAAACGCCAAATCTATGTCAAATCTCTAAAAAAAAAAAATAAGATTTAATCAAAGTTATGTCATAGAACATGGTAGGTAATGGGCATTAAGTATCCACAAACTAAAAATCAATAACAATGTTATAACAAGAAAAAAATTTAAAAAAGGAAATAAAAAAACAAAATGTAATGAAACAATTAGTTAGAATCCAATCACAATTAATCGATTTGAAAACTATTTTGAAACTGGCGTCAATGAAACTTTGATTTGAAGATTTGAAAAAAAAACACTTCATTTTTATTAAAACAATAGTGTCATTTATTTATTTAATTTTGTATTGTTTTAGAAACTAATGAAATTATTAACACAGTTGCACGGAAAGTAAATTTATTCCCGGGAGAAAAATTAATGCTAAATAAATAATGACCAACCTAAATAACTAAATTGAACATAATTATTTTTTTTCGATGGTTATCAGTGTCAGTGTTTAGCTGTGGGTCTTACCAACACATTTGAGCACTACATGGTGCATCATTTTTTAAAGACTTTCTCTCGACTCACAATTCAATCATGTCTGAGCAAGTCAGTCTGGTTTGGATGTTTTTATTTTTTTTATTTTTTTCACCCGTGACATTATAAAAATTCTCGAGGAGTGTCCACCCGGTGAACGGCTGGACGTCAGGTGCGGGTTAACGCTGGCGATCAACCGGTGACAGCAGACTCCAGACTCCGTCTTAGTGAGCGTCTTGGTGAACGGGAATGTGGGTGAACTCATAAATACTTTTGATAGGTTTTGATGTCTTGCCAAGGAGTTGAGTGACTTCAACGGTGATTTTTGTACGCATTCGATGTTGATTTCTTTTTTTTTTTTTTTTTTTTTTTTTTTTTTTTTTTTTAAAAATTTTTTTTTTTTTTTTTTTTTTTTGTTTTTTTTTTTTTTTTTTTTTTTTTTTTTTTTTTTTTTCGAAAAAATATGTACTTTTAAATTTTTCTAAAAGGCATTTCAAAAAGAAAATAAGTGTTTTAATTTTTATTTTTTTTTTAAAGTTAATGAACATAAAACATATTTAAGATTCGTCTTCATTGACTGTAAAACATTTGGCTACACTGAGCGTTGAATAGTTTTCTGCAAAGTCTGTCTTTGCGGAATGTTTGTTAAGAAATATTGAATTAGTTTCTACTTTTTAACGCGTTTTAATTAGTCTTTGATAGAAAGTCTTTTTTTTTTTTTTTAATGTTCCAATACTATGTGTGTTACCTTTAAGTTGTGCTGATTTCTGATAAGTCTGTTGATCACTTTAATGATATTAGTTTCTACTTTTTAACGCGTTTTAATTAGTCTTTGATAGAAAGTCTTTTTTTTTTTTTTAATGTTCCAATACTATGTGTGTTACCTTTAAGTTGTGCTGATTTCTGATAAGTCTGTTGATCACTTTAATGAAATTCTCACTTCTCTGACCTTCGAACATGTCATCGTCGTAAAAAAGTATGTGCACTTTTGTAAGATTTGCGACGTCCAAAAGATGTGCAAATTCCATAAAGTCGCCGATGACATCCGTGGAAGAACGCAAGGACTGGTTGATGTGGATCTCCAATTCTTGGAGATAGGGTGCTAAACTACTCGCGAAACTTATGGCGCACTCTAAAATGAGAAATAAAAAAGAGCATGAAAGGACAAGGTGAAGTGGCCCCCACCAAAAATTCGTTCTCAAGAGGGAGTGGGGGTGGTCTGAGCATCTACACCAAACAAGACTATTCCCGACACACAGTTATCACTTGGTCTTTTAAAAAAAAATGCTCCCTTCTAACACCAGCGGCCAAACTCCATGGTCAATGACAATGCTCGCAGGTGTACCATTGCGTTATATGTTACGGTAATAACCTGCAAGTTATTTTTTATAATAGCATATATATTAGTTGTACTAGCATGCTTGTCGTGGCAGTATTTGTATTTGTAACAGTATATAATAGCTTGTTACTGGACCGTTAGCCAATGGACGTTCTGCTTCAGACTTCGAAGACCCCGCGTCAATGTCTTCTTCCTCTCTCTGTTCGTTGAACGCAATTATCCTCACCCTCCACAGAGCTGGGTCCCGGTAGCCTTCATACCACGATTTGTTCACCTTAGCAAGGAAAAAAACAAAGAGTTCATTTATGTGGCGTAACCCAGTAAGATTGGTGATCTAAAGCATAAGGATAGAAATAATAGAAACATGTTTTGGGGTTACAGAGAGAGTATGAAGAATGCGTATAGGTTGGTACACGGGAGAATAGAATAAAGGATTTGAAAGTAGAATGATATTTATTGTTGGTAGGACGTTATTTTTTTGTATCACTGAGTATTTGGCATTTGTGTAATGACACCTTCACATCATTGGCAAAAAAACAGTAACCAAAAAGAAACGTTATGTAACAGTTGAACGTTTTTCTAGAACCACCGTTATTAAAGACGATAGACTACAGAACTTCATAAACCCTAAAATGATAGTTCGGTGAGATGTACTCTTGAAAACTTTAATTCCCCAGAATATAGTAACACAATAAATATCCACCCAGCCCCATATCCCTGTATCTGATGGTGTGTCCATACATTCACTCATCTTTGCACCCATGATGAATTTGTTTCACACATCCGAAATCTCACTCATCCAATCATCCGTCGACTGGTCGACCCCTATTACTAGTTCATAGTCTGCTAGGTGCCGATCTCACACTGTCAATACTATGATGCCGACTGACACATCAGCAAAAGGCTTCGTCTCCTTGGCTCGGCCAAACGTTTGCATGTATTCATGTTGGCTGGCTTGACATCCTGAATTTCCGAATTTTATATTTAGGACTCAAGGTTAACAAGTTTGCAAATGTTTATGTGGGAAAAAACAAAAAAAAAGGGGGGGGGGGGGAATTTTGCAGCCCCTTCGGTGTTAAAGCCTATTTAGGAAGACCCCAGTAAGGCATTGATTATTCCACACAAAAAAAATGCAAATTTTTTTTTTAGCTATTTTTTTATTTTTAAAAAAAAAAAAAAAAAGGGGGGGGGGGGGGAATTGTGCAGCACCGTCGGTGTTCAAGCCTATTTAGGAAGAGCCCAGTAAGGCATTGATTATTCCACACACAAAAAATTCGAATTTTTGTTATAGCTATTTTTTTATTTTATTTCAACAACGGATCTGACATGCTGGTGAGGGCCTTGTGTCATCGTGAACACCTGTGGCATCCCACCGTTTACCATCATATAACTGTGCTCAATCAAAATGACTTGCTATATCCAGGAAACTTTTTTTTTATTTTATCTGCCTGTATGTCCTCGGTTTTTACTATTGTGTCTGTTTGTACATTACCCATCTGAATAACTTTTTTTTTTTCTGTAACTAATTGCATCGTAACTTGTCCTCTCTTCCTTTCGATTTTACCCACGATATTTAGAAATAGATATAGCCCGCCAAACACTGGCAGCGTGAACTCCCCATCTACTAAAGTTACTTGACAAAAACTTGAACTCAAGTAACGCACATTTAAAAATGCCTATTTTGCTACACTCCTTCATCCCCCCCCCCTTTTTTTTCATGACACGCCGCGAGCTTGGCTGGCAAGTGATGGTGGTTCAGGAGAGGGTGGCGGTAGCATGTCTGGAGACCAACAGGCAGGCAAGGGAAGGGCGGGGAGGGTTTGCCTGCGTCGTCTTGCTTGCTCTGTCGTATCTATATATAGCCTGCGTGATGGTGGTCGTCTTCTTGTGCCCTAGTTTCTGGCGAATTATATATGTAGATAGATGGCTTTTTAACAAATTATCATCCTGTATACACAAGTCCCAAAACCTTACAAATAAGTTTGTGGACAGGTTTGCGACCAAACTCAATGGCTCTTGATCTCCACAGTTCTTGGTCGTGACAACCATAGGACCGGAAATTTTAAAACCTCATCAAGGAAATAAAGGTTTCAATTTAGTTGCACAGCCATGTAAGAGTGATGGTCGATGGCGCGATACACTCATCCTTTATTTCAATCATTCATTCACCCCCTCATTGACTCTTCGGCCAATCCTCTCATCAAGTCAACCTTATACAGCTATCCACATTACTAGCGATTGTACCCATCATTTCATTTGTTGTATCGATAACACAGTAACTCATATCTCCCACCCAACCCAAAATATTATAGAACGTCCACCCACATTGCTATATTAAATTAGACTATTCATTACCCTAGCCATTGAAGCCCTGTCTTCATCGTCCAAGCTCTGGTAGATTTTCCTTAACGCAATGGCGGGGATGTTGCTCCACGAAGGAGGTTCTTGTCTGTAAGACTTCTTGCTGTCATTGTCGCAGGAAGAATGTTGTGGAGTCTGCGATACGTCCCTGACGACATTTTTCTTCTTTTTCTTTAAAGTCGACATTTTTGGCTAACTTCTAGGGGCTGTTTTAATCTTGGAACAGACGCAACAGTTTTTGACAAAGTGCGAGTTAGCTAAACCTTTTAAAATTGATATTTGAAAACGATGATATCTTCCCCGGGTGCAACACACTCTAAAAAGATGATTTTAACAATTTGATATTGACCTTAACTGCCGCTTGTTTTCGATGGTGTTAAAAAAATTTCAAATATATTTGGAGTTTGCTGTAGGGACAAGATGGTACAGTGATAGTGCGAAACGGTGTTGAAATTAACGCTCTTTTGGAAATTCCTAAAATAAACGCAACTAGAAATTTGTTTCTAAAAAATAAAAAAAAAGAGATAAAGACAAATAATACAAATCCTTCAAGTAAATTTTTGTTTGCATTTATGCAATTGTATGTGATTACCACAAAATTTTGTTTTGCAAAATTGTGTGCGACTTAGCAAGGGATGCTTTACTTTAGATTTCACTGCATCATATTTCCTTCATCTGCACTTTGAAAAATAGGAAAAATATTATTTTGGGGGTGTTCGGTCTATGTGCCAAGTTTTAACTCGATGGGATGACGGGAAGTGCGCCAATTGGACTTCCGAAAATTTTGCCTTATCAGGTAAAACTGGTTTTTGGGGATCGACGGTTGTGGACGGGGCTAACAATTCGATGGAATGTATTGTCATTGGCAACGAGTCGATATGCAAAGTTTTAGCTGGATGTGATGACGGCAGGTGGGTCAGTTAGACTTCAGAATATTCGCCGCCACAAAAAAAAACACGAACAAAAAAGGGACTTTAATGTTATAGGTTATCTTAGTCACCAAAGTCTCGCAATTATCCAAAAATCGATGTTATAAAATTCCAAGGCCAAATAACTCAGCTATTTAAATAGTGAATAAAAAATATAATTTGCTGAAAGAAGTATCATAAAGTTCTAGCTAAAGAACAATTGAAATATAAAACCTTTAGAGTATTAGTTTGCAGTAGTTCATTTGTGGCAATTTTAAGACTGGTTTACATGAGCACATTAGGTCTTTTAATATCTTTGTTTGCATTGCACTTTTTTTACAAATACTATACATGTCAAATAATTCCTTGATTTCAAGATATCCTTGTAACAATCATAGTTGGAATTTCAAAGCATATATATATATATATATATATATAT